GATGCTGCGTGATGGTAAAAGAATCTTCATATTACAAATCCAAGACGCCCAGTCTCCTGCTAGTCTGCTGCCCTGTCATGCCGGCTTCAAAACCACATGGCTGAAATCCATGTAACCTGACAACTCTTCTAAAGGGGACCATGAAATGGAGGCACAAGTGCACTTTCACGGTGAGCTTTTGCTGTTTCGTCAACGGATGAGCGATGACGGATCTGATGGTGCAGTAAAAGCTGAAAATCTGATTTATGGCTTTAGTTTTGTGGCCTAGCTGACACAGGACTTCATAAACAGAGAGGTGGGACTTTTTGCATTTTGAAACAGCTAAATTTAACAGTTCATTTTCCCTTAAGGGTTTTTATTTAGATAAATGTTTACAGTCAAATTGCACATTACTTTGTGCTGTCACTTAGAAACTAATGTTCATGGTCAACATCCACTGGAGTGTGAAGGAGTTTTTAGTGTGAACGGATAGCTTTCAAAGTGCCAGGCATGCTCTAAAAGTCAGATTATTTAGTGAAGCTGTGATGTTAGTCATCTCCCTTTAGAGGTGTAAATTAATTTGAAACAGGAGGAAATGGTTACACCTCAGACATTTCAAGTCATAATTCAATTTTCCAAATCTTTTTTTAGTTCGTCCCTTCAGAAACACACAGGCAGCTGTAAGATTCATACCCAACCTGTACATTTAACTATATTACTCTGTGATTCCTGAATTCTGTTATGCATTTATCAGCAAGAACAAATATCAACTTGTTTGTTTGATCTTTGTTATTTATGATCATTAATATTTCAGAATTTCATCCCTAAACAATCCAGCGTGCAGGATGACGCTTAAGTCGAATATCTGCACTGCAAACATCCGCGTTTGTTTGTGTCTCATTTCTCTTAAATCATCTGAAAATCAGTTTCACTTTAATACTTTATTTGCGCGCTTGTCTGCAGCTCAAATCATTAACTTTGCATGTACAACAAACAATAAACGTTTTAAAGGAAATCTGTTTTTTGTGCATATTGTCGCGTTGTTGCGATTATGTCAGTCGTGCTGAGTCGCAGTCCAATACATCCTGTTGCACCTGTTACTTCTACAAATAGTCTACCTGCCAACATCCCCGGAGAGACACAAACAAGGCTCGTCAAACAGATGCCTGCTCAGATATGTCACAGGCTCGGACAGACTAAGTTTAGCAGCGCGCTCCTTACCGTCTTTATGTGTAAATCATTGTTCAAACTTGCAGGGATGGCAGTCAAAATAGACATCGCTGCGGACAGAACGGGGATCAATTGGAACAAACACAGGATCCAAGTGCGCATTCTCAGCGGGACGCACCGGATTCATCCACGCCTCAGACCTTCATAAATTAGTAGTTAGGCTGCTTCGTGCACAGTGAGGCCGGGCTGCATGACTTACTCAGCTGGTTGGGCTCATGGCTGCCGTTGACTCTACCGTCGGGATGAATCTGGAGATGGAAGCCGATGCCAACCCTACAGTAGAGTCTGCAAGTCCTGCGTCCCGACCGGATCCCCTCCTCCAGAAGTTGGCGCTCCAAAGAGACGTGCTGAGCTCCCGCAGCGGTGCAAATCAAGTGAGCGAAGGTCAGAAGGTAAAGAGGAACATTCATTCTTTCAAAAAGGAGACACCCGCGAGGCCACTTCTAGCATTTTGGTCTCGCTCCTGAGATCTGAGCACCAGAAATCGTGCGCACGCACTGCATGCAGCGCTCCTAGGCATTACCCCGGCTGCAGTAGCTGGAGTGGTTCTGCTGGCACGGGGATATTTATAACGCCAATGATCTCACTTCTCGATGCATGCCTGAGCTCTAAAGGACGCTCTTTCATCCAGATTTTGTCGCCGAGATGCCACTCCTGCTCAGCACCGACCCACAGCAGCGGGGCGTGATGGAAACGCGACAGACACCGCACATTTTCCAAGCAATCGTCCGCGCCAGGACGCACTAAGCGCGGCATTTTACGCACAGGGAAACGACATGTTAATAGAGCGTGGACGCGATTAATTCGTACTTGAAGCGACGAGGACAAAACATTTCGCTGTGGGCGCTTCTTTCCATAAAAGAAACACCGGACGGCAACAATGAAACACCGCTCGCAGGAGTGAATTCAGAGAGGTTCGGGCTGAGATCCTCAGGTGGTACAGCAGGGTTTTAACACTGGCTCACCGGACACTCAGGCAGCCGTATTTATAGGCCTCAGTCCACCTTTTCATCTGATGCGTCCACACATTTGGTGAACAAGCGTCAAGCTGACTAATGTATTCTGAGCAGTGTACAGTGGCGGGAGAGACAATGCAATTATCTGTTTGTGGTGTGGATTAATGCAACAAACAAACAAACAAATAAATAATATAAGGAAGAATATATGAGTAACATATTTATGTATAACATTTCTCCCTCCCTTCCACCCAAGTTTGACTTTTGCTACTTCAGATGGCTGTTTTTGCAGTAGATGTCACCAGGAAAAGTGCCCAAACACTGAAAGCCCCAAATAAAAACATGCCCTGTAACCAGTAACACAAAGATGCAAGATTACATGATTCTGCACAGAACTGCATATTTATTTTTGTCAGGCTTTATCTTACTGGTTCAAGGTCAGTGAAAAAAGTTTGTTAGAAGATCACAGCTCCTGTGGACCTGAAATGACACAAGTGAACAGCTTCTGCAGAGATCGCTGCCTTTTGCTTGATTTCCAGTCAGTGCCCATTCTCACTGCTTACTACACTAGCTGTCATTCTGAGGATAAACATGATGTCAAGCCTTAATCTGTAAACAATTAAATGTCTTTTTATGTTTTTTTACTTATAAAATAGGCATTTTGACTCATCACAGAAAGAAAAGCATGGGTAAATCATAAAAGGATCAATCTGGATGCATCAGCTTCAAAATCTTCTTACTTTCTGGCTTTTTGTCAAGGGAACCTCCCTAATGTAACTATGTACTATGTGTGTCTATGAAAATAAAATAAAATAACGATAGGTGAGTGTAAAAATGTCTTAGATATAGTAATCTGTCATCTTGAAAATGATGCTTACCACAGTCTGAATGTTTGTCCTGTGACAGACGAATCTTCCTTTTTCTGGTTTTCTGATTTGTGACGTGTGCATGACGAATAAAAACTTGACCAAAACACATCAGCCATCCCATTTAGTTTAACCTGGCAGGATTCAGTAGTTGTCCAGCAGAACTGCAAAAGTCAAATGTGTTTATTTCTTTATTTATGGTGTGAAATTCCCTTTTTGGGATGTGACACAGTTTTCTTGCTAAGCTGCAGTAAAGGGATAATAAGGCCCCGTGTATGGCTCAAACAAATGTGCTTGTTGGATTATGTACTCTCTCTAGTAAACAATGCTTGAAAAGACGGTGTCTTGGGGAGTGGCGGCTGAGGGTGGGGGGTTGGGGGGGGCTGTCAGGCCTACTTTTCAATACAACCACTGCTCTAGATCTAATGATCATTAGGTTTAATCATGATTATCATGCCTAGTGGCTGATAGTTGTTTGATAGGCTCTTGCTTTCTTCTATATAGCCAAGATTTCTTGATTTTTTCGACTGTTACAGCATCTGTGTACTTGTAGGTTCTAATGCACTCAAAAGCACTGGAAGTATGCGAGTATTTAAACTTCCCCTAAAACTTCTTTTCATCTTTCACAAACGAATTTTTCCTGTATGAAAGCATCCCTTCCTTTCTTGCTCCAGTAGCAGTAGTAGAGTTTTATGATCAACTGGCAATTAGATTCTAGTAGATTTTGTTTTAAACTCTCATGAAAGGACACCTAAAAAAGACACAGACATGTGCATTATTATAAATACATTAAATTGTATATTTTCTGGCACACGGTATGATCTACCTGTTCCTTACCTGCACCATTTCAATTCAAATTACATTTGTCAGCCAGCTCAACAGTTTAAAATCGTCCATCTGAACCTGTGCTCTCTGACTCTTGGTCATCTTAGCACGTGTTTTGTATTAAGCTTATTAATTTTCTATCTTCACACACATTCGTTGTAATCTCATCCCTCATTGTTTTCAGGGGCCCAGCTATGTCTGAATTTGATTAGCTTGCGCCCGGCTGTGGATTACAGGCTGTATAGAGTTCTAATTGTCTCTGGCACACAGAGCCAAGGCCGGGCCAACATTACGTTTTATGTAAACAGCAGGGCAGTGTTTAGTCCCACTGTTCTAATGGGCAGCCATTCTTGTGAGGCCATTCCAGTAACAGTGAGGTAATCCTCCTGAGTCGTATAAACATGGATGATCCTGATTGATTCTCCCGCCGGATTGATCCCAGCTTTTAGCAGCTTTTAAGTCTAAGCAAACAGCAGACAGCAGGTTCTGCTACACCCCTGAGCCGTCTGAGCCCACTGACGGTGATCAATGTGAGGGTGTGTTTGGGAGCATCCGAACAGCTAAGGTCTCAGTCGTCAACTTAATGGCAATGGTCCTCTGATGTTGTGTGGTGCTCAGACAGTCTGCACGGGCATCGGTGTGAGGGGGAAAGACAGTTTTATTATGTTAATGCTCACAGAAAACAAAAAGTTTTATGAAATCATTCTCAAGCTTTAGCATTGGAGCTCTAGATCAAAGAGCAAAGAGCAACAATGTCTACATTCCATCATGGAAACAGGAAGGTCCTGCTTGTGTGAATAGGGGTTCACTGTGATGGCTCACTAGTAGAGCCAGACAGACATGAGATTTTAAGGACGTGTAAGTGTTTTGTTTTTGTCACACAGAACTTATAAGATAGAAATTACTCATTTACACACTTTCTAGCATTGCTCGGATCAGCTGGTCATCGTGTTGCCACGTGGGAAATTGCACAGTGCCCTCTGGTGGACAAATTACAGCAACCCCAACACTCATAACAAGGTATAAGAGTGCTTCTCCTGTCTCTTTGATCCTGTCTCCTTAATTTAATCAGCCGTCATAAATCCCAGCAGTAGTGGTAGTAATAATAATAATAGGTGCTTTTAAAGACCCTCAAGCTCACCTTACATTAGTACAGCAAAATAAAAACAAATAAATAAATAAATAAAATCACAACTAAAACCAACCAACGTAACAATAGAGTAAGACAAGTAATAATGAAGGGTATGCTGTTGTGAACAGATGGGTTTTTAAAGACAAAATTTAAAGTAGAAAGAGAGTTCGTGGTCCGGAGATCTGGTGGAAATCCTTCCAAAGTCTTGGGCCAGAACAACTAAAGGCTCTTAGTCCCATAATAGTCAGGTGAGCCGATGGAACAGACAAAAGAGACGCTGAAGAGGAGCAGAGTGTAGGAGAGGGTAAGTATGGAGAAGATCAGATAAATATGGATAACATGGAGTTGTTTAACCACAGGTCTTCTGGTTCTGGATATAATACGAGCAGCTGAATTCTGAAGTAACAGCAGTTTATGGAGAGATTTATGAGGAAGACTGTATCACATCAACGAGATGTGACAACAGCATTGACAAGCATGGCGGTACTGTTTGGAGTAATTGAAGGATGAAGGCGACTAATATTGCGAATATGAAAATAAGCAGAGTGATAGTGGTGAAAGAGAGAGTACTGTCGAGGATGGCACCCAAACTATTAACCTGAGGGGAAGGTGTGACAACAGAGTTAATAATAAATAATGAAAAGCGTTTGGCTTGAGATGGTTTAGATTAGCCCATTAGAATAAATTCTGTTTTATGAAAGTTATGAGTAAAACAAACTTTGATTTTACTTAAACGATCAGAAATGGATGTTAATGGGAGACTAGCTGTGGGTTCGGAAGAGAAATAGAGCTGGGTGTCATCTACGTAATGGTGAAATTATGTTATATTTCCTGAATATATTACCTAGAAGTAGGAGATAAATAATGAAAAAGCAAAAGGCCCCAGGACAGAGCCTTGGGGTACACCGGAGTTAACTGAAGTAGGTTGTGATCTGTGGATATATAATTGAACAAACTGTAAATGGCCAGAGAGGGACATCAGTATTATCAATATTATCAATATTAGCTTGGCACAATGAATATGTGCCAAGCCTTAACGGAAAAAATGTAAGGATTTCTGAATGTCTTTCAAGCTAATAATCAACAAGGGATCTGTTTTTGGACTAAAAATGGAAAAGGAAAAAGAGAATAATGTTACAAAAGTGAGATTAGAAAAGACTTCTGTCTCATGTATAAGTTGGGCTGACTGTGCTACAAGTGGTGTGAAACGTTAGAAACACTACAACCTGCTAAATAAGGATGTAATGAATCTATAAATAAATCAGTTTTTTTTTAATCAAGTGGGGACTGAATTTACCTACAAATACTTTTATTTATAAAGTTAGTCATTATTTCTTTGTTTTCTTTCTGTGCTTTTTTTTCTCTGACTTTTCTTCTTCTTTATGATCTTTGCACTTTTTCTTTTTTCTTTCTTTTCTTTAAATTTGTCTGGACGATGTATCTGAGGAGGAGGAATATTTTACATGAAGACACTGATTTGCCTCCAAACACTGACTCGATACTTGAAACATGATGCAAACCAGGACCCTTCAAAGTAAAACTCATGCCTTACTGCTACAATGAACACACTTCAAAAGCTGCAACTTTAACTGTAAAGGAAAATAGTATCTGTTACCAGTTTGGGTCACTGTGGCAATCATAGCAATCACAAACAGGTTTTCAGTACAGCGCTGTGAGATCCACATATGAGGACGTTCGTTTTAAAATTCGATAGAGCAGTGGTAGTATAACGTCCTCGTAGGTGGATATCAGGCCCTTGTAGAGCAGAATTTTGTATTTTGGTCTAGAGAACCCAAAATGTAACTAATGTGAGATAAAAGTAATCCCATAAAGCTTAAAGCTTTGTAGTTTCAGACCTACGCTGATATGAACACATGCATTAGTTTCAGCATCCATGTATGGGTCAGAATTAATGAGCTGTGCCTCAGATTGTTGTATATTATTATGCTTCTGAGCTCGTTCGTGGGAGTGAAATTA